TGATCCTGGATTCTCCCCATTGCATCTTTGAAGCCAAGTAGCATTAATGGGATACCATTGGAGCTGGGACATTATGCAGACCAGAGTAAAGAATGCCTCTATTTATACTTTGTTATTACTGTTATCCAGACACATAGATTATTTTTGTTTCATGTCACAGTACTCAAGGAAGGATATTTTTGCACGATGGAGACATAGTATGTACCTTGATGTGTGAATTCTGATTCTGCTACCCACCTTCTGAATGACCGTGTTGGGTTAGCTATTTCACCTCTAGGATCCTCAATATCTTCATGTGAAAAGCGGGAATAATAACTTCTTCACAGCTGATGGAATTATTGCAAGAGATCAGTTTTCAAACTTTTTGGTCTTTTTTTTATTGGAGTATAGTTGCTTCACAATATTCTGTTAGTTTATACTGTACAGCAAAGTGAATCAGCTATACGTATACATATATCCCCTCTTTTTTGGATTTCCTTCTCATTTAGGTCACCACAGAGCACTGAGTAGAGATTCCTGTGCTATACAGTAGGTTCTCATTAGTTATCTATTTTATACATAGTCTCAGTAGTATATGTATGTCAATCCCAGTCTCCCAATTCATCCCACCCCCGCACTTCCCCCTTGGTATCCATATCTTTGTTCTCTAAGTCTGTGTCTCTATTTCTGCTTTGTAAATAAGATCGTCTGTACCAACTTCAGATTCCACATATGTGCGTTAATATACGATATTTGCTTTTCTCTTTCTGACTTACTTCACTCTGTATGACAGTCTCTATGTCCATCCATGTCTCTACAAATGACCCAATTTTGTTCCTTTTTATGGCTGAGTAATATTCCATTGTATATATGTATAACGGAGGTCTTAAGAGCCCTCGCTACCCTTAGAAATTGAGAACTCCAAAGAGCTTTTTTTATTTACCTTGGTATTTATCAATACCATATTTGTATTAATAATTAAAAATAAAGAATATTATAAAGCGTTTATTTATTTTAAAATGACAGCAACCGTTACTGTAACATTTTTTTTTTATGAGGACTGTTTTCCAAAACAAAAGAATTAATGAGAATAGTGGTGGTTTACAGTTTTGCAAATCTCTTTAATGTCTGGATTTCCAGAAAACAAGTGGATTCTCAGATATGCTTCTGAATTCAGTCTGGAGAATTATGTACTTTTGGTTGAAGTATGCGAAGGAAATCTGGCCTCAGATAAATATGTAGTTGGAAGGGAAGGAGTATTTTAATAACCTTTTCAGTTAATTGCAGATATTCTTTGATTCAACACTAGAACTCAGTAAGTGATTTTGTCTTAAAGACTAGTTGTAATGTGCAACCTGAAGCCATCTGTGAATTTTATGTACTCTGATACGTAAAATCCCTTAGTCTGTCTTGTACTTTGAATGCCTCTTTTACCCATACGTAATTTTTAAAACATCATACACTGGTCATTTGGTTCACTAAATTATGTAGACCTTCTAAAACTTTATTTCATCAAACCATATCAAAAAATCATAATTATGAAAACCACCACGAGTCTCATCAGACGAGAGACTGTCAAGCCTAGGGCGACAGACGTATGTTCCGAAATTTTAATTTTTGCTCAAAAGCCCAAATTTTATCATTGGCAACAAATATTGCTGGTTATTTTCCTTGATGTGATGGGCTCACTTCATTCATTTCCATAATATAGCTGCCAGATACACAAGTCTGAATAATCAGTTTGTCTAAAGTTGTTCTTTCAGGTAAAAGTGGTATTTCAAGAAAACAGTGGCTAGTTCAGTTTATGGCTCCAGGGATGGCCAAGAGCTCTTCCTTGAGACAGAGCCCTCATCCTTCAGTAGGAGCAGAAATGCTTCCCGCCTTCTTCCCATTTCATCTCAGGATGTCAAAAAAAACACATACCAAAGAGTTGAGGTTTAGTGACATTAATATTTGTTACTGCTTCATTAGGGACATTCTTTTTGTAAAAATTTATTCAAGTATAGTTGATTTACAGTGTTGTGTTAATTTCTGCTGTATAACAGTAATTCTGAGATATATATATCTATATACATTCTTTTTTTTTTTTTTTTTTTTGCGGTACGCGGGCCTCTCACTGTTGTGGCCTCTCCCGTTGCGGAGCACACGCTCCGGACGCGCAGGCTCAGCGGCCATGGCCCATGGGCCCAGTCGCTCCGCAGCACGTGGGATCCTCCCGGACCGGGGCACGAACCCGCGTCCCCTGCATCGGCAGGTGGACTCTCAACCACTGCACCACCAGGGAAGCCCTATATACATTCTTTTTCATATTCTTTTCCATTACGGTTTATCACAGGATATTGAATATAGTTCCCTGTGCTATACAGTAGGACCTTGTTGTTTATCCGTTCTATATATAATAATTTGCACCTGCTCATCCCAAACTCCCAATCCATTTCTCTCCCACCCCTCCGCCCCTGTTGGCAACCACAAGTCTGTTTTCTATGTCTGTGAGTCTGTTTCATAAGTAAGTTCATTTGTGTCATATTTTAGATTTCATTAGGGACATTCTTAAGTGTTACTGGCTTTACCCCCCTTGCTGTAGTGTGTGGAAGTGAGGAATACAGTGACCACTTGGACAGTTTGGTGCCGCTGCTTTGATTTGTACTAAAGCATCGCAGGTTTCACCCTCCAGGCACCTTATACCTTCTAGAGCGCAGATGTCAAGACAGAAAAGGCAGTAGTAGTATTCTGGAAATAGTTTTCACCTCACGGACTCCCTGAAAGGGTCTCCGGGTCCCCAGTAGTCTACAGACCACATCTTGGGAACCACTGGGGTGGACAGTAGGAATTGTGTAACCTCTCGCCAATCCTGACAAGTTAGCTCTTTCTGCCTGATCTTCATTGTTTGTGGCCGTGGACTCGGTGACTGGCTGGGCTGAATGAAACCTGGCCTTTGGGAGATTTATCATGTTGATGAAATCCCACTAGAGTTCTTCCCGAGCTCACCAGAGCCCAATTGCTGTTTTTCTCTCTGGGATGTTACCTTGAAACTGAAAACAAACCTTGGTTTCATATTAGCTTTACTGCTGGCATCTGTGCAGGAAGATTTCTGTATATAATCCTTGTTTTTTTGTATGGTGTAGAGCTAATAAAGACATTATAATTTCCTAGTCTTTTATATCAAGGGGTCTTAACTCTAGTTTCAGAGCTAGTCCATGTATAGACTTTAGGTGACTTGTGAGCCTTTGAAATTTCAAAAAATTTGCTGTTGTTTTTCGGGGGTTGGGGAGAAGGTGGGTTGTTGGGGAGAGTTAATAGCTTCAGATTCTCAGAGAGGTTTTGTGACCTCCCCCCTTGCAAAACCAAACCTTAACTAATGGTTATTTCAGATGGACATTGCTATGGGTAGCACCTACCCATCCATTGTCCATTTCCAAACGCACTTCTTTTTGGAAAGAATTTTCAAAGTTCCCTCCTTGGCTTTGCCTGTCTGTACTTGCCATTCCTTTGGCATTCCTTCACGGTTCCTGTCACTTAGCACTTGCTCACAACTCACTTCACGGCTGTCTTCACGCACATCTGTCCTTTTCCTCTTGGCATAAAATGCAGGAGAGCAGGGACCGTGCATCTCGTCCAGATGTATCTCCTCGGAGGGTATTTCAGGCCGGAGAATACGCTCAGCCAAATCAGTGGGTTCCTTTTTGAACCACTGAGATGTGCAAACTTGGAACATTTATTTATACCTCAACCACAAGATGCATTTTTCTCCCACACATTCTTCAGTCTGCTTCTTGGAACCCAAGCGCTGTCATGAAAACTGCAAGGCAGTCTGTTTCGTTCCAACAGTAGCATTTTTGGAACACTTTCCCGATTCCGTGGGAGTAGTGTGGTGACTACCACTTGCTGATGAGACGCAGAGGAGGACTCTGCAGCGTGATTATATGTATATCATGAACTATCCGCTCTCCGGGGAAGCTGCAGAAGGGATGGGTGTGAGGGGGCTCCGCTGCAGGGCAGGGGGCACCCCTGACAGTAGCAAGAGTGCTCTTCGCGGTGTCAGCATTTCTGTAAGCCAGAAAGCTGGCTTCAGTGTGGTGGGTGAGAATCAGACAGTGGGCTTTACAGATAGTGCTCTGATTTAACCACGTGGTGGTTCCCCACCTCAAAAAAATTTTTAAGAGTTCTATCGTATGTGGTTTAACTTAGGGGCTTCACAGTTTTTGAAAAAACTGTGGCTTGTCTAACGCAGCAAACATACCAGCACCTAACAGTTGGGAAACAGCAATATCCCTGTCCTCTGTGGGAAGCAGGAAGATAAATAATACGGCAATGAACAGGGAGGACTGACCTAATTATGACGAGGCAGAAGAATCGCTCAATAGGATACCGGCAAGGTGGATGTGTATACCAATCAGATCTGGGAATATTTTATTCAGGAATATGTTCCCACTTGCTGGGTTGCATTGTTTTTAAACTTAGCTTCCCAGACAACATTTGAGCTCCTGACACCCTCCATCCTATCTTCTGCATTACTTGTGTCTCTAAATACTAAAAGTTGCCACTCACGGTGCATTTTCACCAGTGTGGGTGGACCCAATCCTCCGTCTGTACAGACACAAACTTCCAAGATGGCTTTGTTTATTTCTGTCCCTGTCTAGCAGGTGAGAAAATCAGGACATAAGAGCCTTTGACTTGCCCCAAACTATTGAATGATAGTGCAGGTGATGTTAACAGCTGTGGTGTCCCAGGCCAGGCTCATGAGTCAAAGAGTGTGTCATTCGTCTCTTTGGAAAGTGCCTTTCATGCTGTTGAGGTCGGTAAATGTCGGTGCGTGTCCTCTTTGACTAACTCACTCCTACTCAAGGGCTGAATCTGGTCAAACCCTCCTTTGGGAGAATGCCACCTATCAGTGGGAGAGCAAGGTAAGGTGACTCTTGGCTGTGCTTTCGGACCAGATGGCTGTTGCTACTGCATGATAAAATGTGCAACTTCACGTTTCCCTGCCTCTCGACACTACAGTGCCCTTTCTGTTTTTTAAGGAAAGAAGGATTGTCCAAATGTGGAAGATGCAAGCAGGCATTTTACTGCGATGTGGAGTGTCAGGTAGGTGTTGGGCCAGCTGGCAGGGAGGGCCGTTTCCTCGGAAGATCGGGACCCAACATCCTTCTCGTCCTTGTCACGGCATCCCAGAGCCCTCCTGCAGCCAGAGCTACAAAGCCTCCTTGTGGCATAGGAAGTGGCTGGGTCCCCCTGTGTGCTGCCGGTGACAACGGGCAGCCAGCAGTAGCATTTTGGGGCCACACAGAAGATCAGAAATAGGGGAGCCATGTTGGATACAGGCATGTGTATCACTAAGGTTGACAGTCTGCCCCCCAAGACTACCAGCAACAGATGGAACATGCAAAGATGACCAGTGAAAAATGTTAAAATGCTATCTTTAAAATTGTTTAATCTTTACTATCACAGGTCTGTATTTGTATATGTCCCTCTAGCAGGCCACACGCTGCACTTGGGCTGGTCTAACCCAGCCTGATTCCAGCTAGACTTAGGTGAGCCCCTGGCACAGCCTTTGTACAGCCAGAGGCGAGCTGCTCTGAACTTGGACCTGGAGACCTGGGGATGCTGCCTCGGCAGCAGTCGGTGCTGAGTGGGTTCAGGAGGCAAGTTGCATGTAGACCATGGGCCATCTGGCTTGATGGATACGTCTCAAGGGAGTCTCGGAACACGGGACTGGGAAGCTCAAGGGGGAGTTTGGAGGAGCTCTTGGCAGATTCTTTGAGGGACGAGGAGTGGTGTCTTCCAAACTTTTCTACTTGATACTATATAGTTATACAAAATGTTCATAGATATTTTACAGAAAAAGTGTTCCATGTTCCAGCAATTTGAATTTGGGGAGAATATGATCTTTGACTTCAGTATACCCTCCCCAAACTATTTTTTTAATGGAAACCTGTTGATACTCCTTGGGAAATGCTGATGCCATTAAACAATGGCTCTATATGACAGGGAGGATTTTCAACATATCTGTACCTCTTTTTGTTGTTGTTCTTCCCATACTTGGAGTCATTCCCGTCTGTCCCCTACCCCCTCCCTGGTCTGCCTCATTACCCACGATTTCATTTTTTTTTCTCTCTCTTCTCCGTATGCAGCTGGTCTCTGAAAGTCTCCAAGGAGCGTTATTTGGCAGTGGGAGAGGTTGCTAAGCTCCGATGTCTAGCATGTCAGTGTCATCTAACCGTAGAGCTCCTGTCACAGGGGCCCTGGCGGGAATGAAACACAGGCTGAGTCACTGGCTTGGGAAGGTCAGCCTTGGTTCTGAAGGCCACGTACACGGTCCCTCTCCCTGTGGGCTTCCAGAGGCTGTCAGCCTGTGGGGCAGTGAGAATATAGATGGGTTTGTCGTTGAGTTTTTAGGGAGTGTGGCTTCTTTTGAAGAGGAGAGATCATACTTTGCCCCTACTGATCGTACACAGAGAATTCTGTGGTTAGATTGCTGTGACATTGGAGAGATCAGTGAGCCCTGGAATGACATGATTTGGCTCCAGGCCTGATAAGTTAGCTGTTTCTATATTTAAGTTAAACACTTCTAGAAGAAATAACTCATGACGTTCTGGTTCTTTAAAGAAGCAAGCTAGTAACTCACAGACAGTTCAGACTATTGAAACACAGAAGACTAGGAGGACGTGGTCCCAGCTCTGCAAATGACTAGCTCTAGGAACTTCATAGGACATAGGACATAGGACAAAGGACATCTCAGAGTCTCTGTTTCTTTAAATGTAAATGAGGACAGTGGCCCCTATCTTGATGAATTGTAAGGACCAAATGATTTGACAGATATGAAAGTTCTATGTAAACTGTAATGCTGTGTGCAGGCGTGAGGGCTTATAAATAATAATATTACAGTAACTCAGGCTGGACTGAAGCTTAGCTGTATGCAGAGAATAACGTATACAGCATATGTTAGATTTAAGGGACTTTTTTTTTTTCTTTTTTAACTTTTTATTTTATCTTGGAGTATAGCTGATTTACCATGTTGTGATAGTTTCAGGTGCACAGCAAAGCGACTCAGCCATACATATACATGTATCCAATCTTCCCCAAACTCACCTCCCATCCAGGCTGCCACATAACATTGAGCAGAGTTCTCCGTGCTATACAGCAGGTCCTTGTTGGTTATCCATCTTAAATATAGCAGTGTGCACATGTCGATCCCAAACTCCCTGACTGTCTCTTCCCCTCACCCGAGGGGCTTGTTTTTTTCACCTAAGAATGGATGGTTTCTAAGAACTTGAGATCCCTAATGGTGTACATTGTATGAGGAATGCTTGTTACAAAATGCTTGTTAACTTCTCTGATGAACCGTAAACTCCGCATTAATATAAAATATGAGAATCTGTGAGATGCTGAGCTACCTCGGGGTCTCCTGAGCGGGCCGCTGAGCTGTCTTCCATTAGGCCTCACCAGGTGGCATTATTTTGATGAATCATCGTGGTCCAGGTTGGGGTCTTGAGGTGGCCATTGTGGTCCCCCTGCCTTTAGGACCTAGTCTCCCAGATTTGCACACTCACAGTAATAGGTGGCCTGCTTGGAAGGTTCACAGTGATCGAGTTCATCAACCCGCGTTAACCAGAATGCCTCTTTTTTCTTTTCTTCTTTCTTTTTTTTTTTTAAAGAAGGTTTTCTTCTCTTCTTTTAATTTTTTGGCCGTGCAGCGTGGCATGCGGGATCTTGGTTCCCCCAGCAGGGATCGAACCCGTGACCCCTCCAGTGGAAGCGAGGAGTCTTAACCACTGGACCACCAGGGAAGCCCCCCAGAATGCCTCTTTATTACTTTACAGCAAGCAGCTTGAAGTCTGTACATTCTCCTCCTATAGACAGATTGTACAGGTTAAAGCATAATGCGATTGCCTGTAGCAAGGAATCCCAAGATGTGAGGGGATACAGTGCTGTGACTGTAAGTCACGTTGAAGGTCTGGGCCAAGACAGCTTGCTGTGTCCAGCGTCGTGATGTGCAGTCTTCCCTGCGTGTCGCCCAGGTTCGGGGCTAGGACACCATGAGTCCTGGAGAGCACTTCTGCAATTCAGTTTTCCTGTGCTCTGTGAAGTATCCCTCGTGACAGAAGTAGCCTCCTAGAGGACAAGTGATAACACAGCTCCCAGAGCCACTCGTTTTCTAGAGGTGAGGCTGGATTTGACCTGTAAGTTTCGTTTTTGTTTCATCTGTCTCCTGATGTGGAAGGAAGAGGCTAATAGTCATTAAGGTGTTCTATCCTACGGTACTGAAGAACTGAGTAAGTGCAGGACACTGTATTACAATGAGATAGAATGGTCATAAAGGTTTAATCAAAATAAGCGCCTAGAAATAAATGGCTGTATAAGGGCTTCATCCATAAAATCATTAGTGGGGAATCTGGGGCATTTGCTCCAGATAAAAATGTATTCAGGGTTCTGCCCAAGGGACTGCTTGGATAGGATCAAAGTGGAGACTCTGCTACAAGTGGTACAGAACAAGAGCAGCAGTGAAGAAGGTAAATGAGCGATTCTCCGCCTAAGAAAGCATGGCCCTCAGCTGCTGGTCATTCTCTGGGCGTTCTTCAAAGGCAGACCCCACCCACCTGGAGTCACACATCAGATGATGGGGTTGGAAAGGTTTATCAGTAGATAAGAAAACTATGTCCACACTGGTTGGGTGACCCACCCAAGGGGACACAGCAGCAGAACCGAGACCAGACTGTGCAGGCTGCCTGGGGAGGGCTTTTCACTGCTTTCCAACACTGCGCTTGGGGGTGCTGAGGACCCTCCAGGAGAAGAGGCACTGTGGGAATGTGTCAAAGACTGAGAAGCGGCCTTTCATTGAGGTGAAAGGGGGGAAGACCCCTTCCAGTGGTGTTGTCTTTCCAGAAACCTCTCCAAGAGTGTAAGGCACACATCCTTCCACAAACACAGCATCTTAGGAGACCCTCAGCACTGTGTTTACTCTCCCCGGGCCCTCCTCTCTAACTGCAGGGCTTTAGGATCCTGCTTTGTTGTATACAGTTTGGCCCTGTCTTGTCCCATTTCCTTTCCTCTTCATTCACTTGGCTCAGTGGGATCCTCTGCCAGAGGAAAGATTTTAATTGACGATGCATGAGAGGGTAATGGGAGGAAATATAAAAGAAATAGAGAATTCCTTTTTAGTTAGGCTTGGTTTGTAACCTGTGTGTTTTAATGAACTATATTTATTTTTATAAATATGCCTGGAAAACTAAGTGTATTATTCACTCACTCAAGACTTTTTCATTAAGTCGTACTACGACACGTTGAAGAGAATAGTTTTAGAAAGTTATTACATAGAGGAATTGTGGAGTAGAACTTTCTAGGGTATTATTTCTTAACATTGACAAATAGAAGAAAACGATTTGTGTTTTGTAAATAGAGGTGATAGGATTATGAGTGTGCTTTTGAAAGTAGGAAGGGGCATATCCCAATGGAGATTTTAAAAGGCACGTGTGAGGAGCTTGTGATCAAAGATTCTCGAACATTCTTGACTTTTATCATCGATTAGAAAGTAACTGAAGTGTAGAAATGTCCAAGAAGTGCTCCCATGACCCTGTCGTTGTTTGGGTGATTAGTGAGTGGGGCCAGAGTCATAGGTTTAGTCCTGGTTAAATTCGCTTTGTCCTCTTAACCCAGACACAGGAACCATCTTCAACAGAGCCACTCTTTTTTCTAAATGGTTAATGTCACCAGTAGGAAAAAACGTGTAGGAATGAATGAGTGCATCCCAATCACTCTTTTATGGGAAGAGAAAACAAAGCAGATGTCCTTGTGATGGGGGCTCAGCAGTGTCTGTCATCTTGGTGTGAGATGGTCACTAAGCCCCTGATTCCCTCTTCATTCTTCCTCTCGCAGAGAATGGTAGTAGAGAGCAGCAAGTCTGACATTTTCTTACTGTTCCACATTTTAAGAAATCACCTACGCGTGCTGCTCCACATTTCAGGAAACCACGTATGCGTGTGTACAAGGAGACATGGTGTAGATTGAAAGCCCCATTAGAACGAAAGAAACACCAAATGCGAGAGTTAGAAAAGGGGACGTCACAATAAGAATCCGGTCTTCTTACGCAGGGAGGCAATATATCGTTGCTCAGCAGAAAACTGGATGACATAACAGTCACTCTTTTCTTCCAGTGTTGGAAGTGCCGGTGTACCATGAAACAATTTTGCAATGCTCTTTACGCATCTTTAAGCATTTTTGTCCATGTGCAAAAAGGAAAGTCATGCAGAGCTGTTATTACATTGGCTGAAAATGAACTAGAAGTTTAAAAAGTGTACCAAAATATTCCCTATCTTACTTTTACGATAGTTAATTGTTCAAATTTATTGCACGAATAATCTGTGCTCAATATAGAAAAATCAGAAAGTAAAGACTGAAAGAAGAACAGAAAGAGTAGCCATACTTCATAATTTTATCCTTCCAGAGAAAATCACTAGTAACACTTTGGCATGTGTCTTTCTGAATCCTTCCTGTGCATTTATTTGTATATTACTTTCCTGGGAAATGGGATCCATTTGAGTTTGCATAAAATTTTATAAAGATTGCAATCAGGCAAGGAGGAACAGCTTGAATTTTGAAGAAAACTAGTAGAGAAAGTTTTGGAAAAACGGGCAAAAATGTTTTTTTAAAAGCATAAAGGGTTGCAAAATCATTCTGTGTGCAGTGAAACTGGCAGTACTAAAAAACCAAACAAAACACAAATAAAGCACTATTAATTGATAAGACTTATTCCTATCCATCAGGCTAGCTTAATTTTTTGTTTCAATTTTGTCCAATCTGATTGTTTATAATTTCTTATGGGCAAAATTGGGGCAGATTATATCAGGATATGCTCAGAACTTAGGGGCAGATTATATCAGGATATGCTCAGAACCTATCTGACATTTCTACCAGATGTTCTTCTCCCCCCAACAGTTTTTTTTTTTTTTTAAGAATTAAAACCGAAAAAAAAAAAAAAGAATTAAAACCGAGTAGTGCCATTGTGGCACATCTCTGTCATTTCCACCTTCTGACAGAAAGTGAAAACTTATTACCTAGTAAATTTCCCTTGATGAAACTTACATGATTCTGCGCATCCTTGGATTTACCCAGCTCTCTGATTTAACTGCTTTGTGTGGGGCTGTATCACATTCTAGGTGCTCTTACTTTTACCTTGTGTTCGGATATAGTCGTAAACTACCTGAAGTCAAAGACTCCATCTCCCACCTCTGCCTCTACGGTCAGTCGAGGGCTTATTGGATGAATGAAAGAACCAGTAAATGAACAATTACCAGCGTTTGTTGAGAGCGCAGTGTGTGCCAGGCACTGGTCTGAATGCTTCTTGTGGGTTAGCTTATTTGCTGGATCCCCACAATGACCCTTTGTGGTTGGTTGCATGAATGCCTAATTATCCCATTTGAAGGTCCTATATTTGTTGGTAGTCTTCAAGCTTTTGTGTCTGATTATCACTGTTGGAAAGCATAAAATTATAGACTCAGAATTCTGGACCTGCTAAATAACTTAGGGATCATGTTATTTACAGCCAAGGATATGGATGCAGAGGGATTAAGAGGCCTGCCTGGTGTCACATAGCTGCTTCGCTGCAGAGCGGGGGGGTGAGAATGCAGGTCTCCCCGAGCCCCAAACCAGTGTCCTCTTACTTCACAGCACTCTGCTCGCCTCCAGACTGTGCCCTGTAGTTAGGTTCCCTTCCCTTTGAAGACATTAACATCAATACATGTCTACATTGTATGTTACTTTTTATTCGCATTAATTTGACATTAATTCTATTAATAATATGTAAGTCATATTAAGAAATGTTAGTATTAAACTTATTTCTCCCAGGAGCTCATTGTTAAACACCAAAAGACACCACCTACAGTTCAGAAAACTAACATCTTCAAGGCCCTGCAGAGACCTTGTATTAGCGTTCCTGGGGTCATAGTGGACACGTGTGTGTTCCTAGTTGCCAGTTATCCATCTGCCCCAGCTGGTGGTGCTCACTCCCCTTGGATATCCCAAGGCCAGGCTTGAAGCCCTCTTTGACTTTCCCTTTTTGCCTTGCATTTGGGGAGGGAGCTGGTTTGTCGGCTGGGAGCTAGACCCACCTGTTCCTACCACATTGCCTCATCACCGTGCTCTCATTTTAGGCTTTGGCTAAAAACAGATCCTCTTCTCCCTTGTGCATATCTTGTCATTTCTTTCTCCCCCTGTTCTTAGTTATATTTGGCATGGTGTTATTTAACTCTGCAGAACATCTTGGCACAGAACTTGAGCCAAGGGTCTGTGCCACGGGCTGCCTTAAATCATTGTGACATCGTGTCTTTCCTATATTTGGCATGGGGGAGGGGAGGGAGACATCTTCATTCATTCAGCAACTTTATTGAGTGCCTAGTAAACACCAGGCACTGTTCTAGGTTCTGGGGTAACAGGCGTACACAAAACAGACTAATAACGTCCTTTATTTTAGTGGGAGCGGGAGGGAGACATAGTAAACCAAACAACTAAAGAGTGTGTAATATGTCAGGTGGTGAGAGGTACTAAGAAGAAACATAAAAGCAAGGAAAGGGAGAGTGTTGGGGAGAGTGCTGGTCTTGACAGAGTATTCATGGCAGGTACCTTGAAAAGGGGCATCGGAGCAGAGACGCGGAGGAGGGAGGGAGCAAGGTGGATGTCTAGGGGAAGAGGCGTCTAGCCAGGAAATACCGCAAGTGCCAAAGATCTCCTGGCAGGAGCAAGCGTGGTCTGTTCAAGGAGCAGCAAGGAGACGTGGTGGCCAGCATGGAGTGAGGTGAGGGAGCATGGTGGTGGTGATGAGCTCAGAGTAATGGAAGCGGGGGAGGGGGGGCTCCTACCACGTGTAGCCTCACGGGTCATCTTTAAGTCTTGGCCTTTCGCTCTGAGGTGAGAAGTCATTAGAAGGTGCTAAGCTGAGAAAAGGCAGGATCTGAGTTGTGCTTTGCAGAATCAATTACTCTGGCTGGTGTCTGGAGCAGAGTTGGGTGGGGGCAGAAGCAGGTGTCCAGGTAGCCACAGGGCGAGGTGTCGGGTCTGCACACCCAGTAGAAAGGTGGGGGTGGTGGTGAGGCAAGAAGTAATCAAAGGCTAGCTGTATTCTGCAGGCAGACAGGATGGATTTGCCAGGGAGATTTATGTGGAGTGGAAGGGAGAGAAGAGAGGCAGCCAGGAGGACTCCAGGGTTCTGGCCTGAGCACCTGAACCATCAGACTTGCCATTTTCTGAGGCAGGAAAGGCGGAGGGGAGAACACGACGATACCCAGTTCCATTGCGACAAAGAGTGTCTGCAGACTCCCACTGAGTCCTCTCCCACAGCCTCTCAGCCCCATCACGCCACTGCGGTGGGCTTTTATTGGAGCCCGTGTGGTCCAGGCAGTTCCCAGTCACCCCACAGTAACCCTGTCACTGACGCCAGCATCATTCTTTATGCCCAGTGCTCAGAGCCTTCCTCCACGGCACCCACGTCCTCCTACTTCCTCAGCCTTCCCGTCTCATAGGGGGCATCTCCACCCTTCCAGGAGTGAGCACACGCCCTTTACCCCCCAACCTGGGGCAGAAAACTTCAAGACAAGTGATAGAAAGGAGAACAGTTTTCCTCTTTTATCAAATGACTCTTCAGGAAGTCTGTGTTCCTAAATATTCCCAAGAGTTGCCCTGGCCAGACTCTTAGAGGGCCCTTGACAAAGCCCTCATTTGTGTTTTGTTTTTATCACCTGTAAAAGGGTGCTGTGCTGTGTCTGTGTAGACACACACAGACTAGGTGCTGTGTGTGTCACTTCTTGGTTATTTGCTCTGAAGTGAGAACAGAGCCAGAACAGAACCGTAGGTAGCAGAGCCAAACCAATGGCTAATGCCAAAGTCACTCACCCCTGTGACTTGACAGCGACCACAGATAATGGAAAGGTGTGTGTGTTGTTTGGAATGATGAGGGGCACCAGATGCTTGATGAAACAACACAAAGCAAATTTTCTCTTGCCAACAACCTTGGCCAGGCCTGAGTCAAGGTTATATAGCTACAACTATCTTAAAGGATGTTTTCATCTCTAGCTTTTGTGAGCATCATCGTGTTTTCCAAAAGGAAACATATTTCACTTGACCTTAGTAGGACTTATTGCATCCTCTCTTTTCGAACTTTATTGCAGTATATGTGTGTGTGTGTGTGTGTGTAATAATTGTTTTTTCACTTTCCCAGAGAGAAGATTGGCCCATGCACAAGCTGGAATGTTCTCCCATGGTTGTTTTGGGGGAAAACTGGAATCCCTCAGAGACTGTAAGGCTAACTGCACGGATTCTGGCCAAACAGGTGAGGAATTGGGATCACGTTCAAGTGTGTTTTATTTTTATTTTTCTTAAAGGTCAGAAAGATGAGTGAGTGACCCATGGTGATCATCTCTCGTTAAGTGTCCTGGGACCCCATTTCCGGTCACATCCATATGGATGGGGTTGGGAACAATGCTGCACGTGTGAGCTGGTTTGTTTGACCTGTGCAGCTAGGATGTCACTTACCCCAGGCCAGGAACGTAGCCACAGTTACTAAATTCTGAGCTTTTTATGAGACAGGTTTACATAGAAAAATACGGCCTTTCAGGGCGTGAAAACCTGACTGACAATAATCAGAGTGTCCTAGGGAACCAGACCGGCCTTCGAAGCTTTGCACCGTTCCCGTCTTTCCCCAGACACAGAGTGAACTCTGCTCCCCCCGCCCTCTGCCCCTGTCCTGTGCTGGGTCCTGTTCCTCTCCTTCTCGTTATTCGCCCTGCCTTGGGGTAGAACAGCCAGCATGGCATGTGCAAGGAGAGGAGAAAGAAAAGGAGCGGAAAACTAGAAATCGAGGCAAGGGGAGAGGGGAGGGGGAGAGGGGAGGAGGGTGGGGATGAAGACAGCCATCAACGGTTTCCTCCAAAGATGAAGCCGGGGCTGGTGGTCCTGACCGCCAGTTTGCTCAGGCCTTATTGATTGCATGATAATAAGACGCCTGATCTTGACAGGAGGGGCGGAAAATGCCGTAGGACTTGTCCTTGTGACACGATGAAATGGGCCGCACGGAGCTTAGAAGGTGTATGTCCACGGAGCTGCTTGCTAGTGATAAGCTGGGGGCAGGGCCTCTGTACTGTAACTCTTTTAAAGCTGAAATTTCATCTGCCTCTTCTTTCTGTCTTCCCCCACCCCACCTCCCGCCGTTTAAAACTTTGGTTTTTCCTTCATCGAAACCAAATGTGATCCTGACCAGCTCATATCTGTCCCCAGACCAAGTCAGGCTCCTCGGCATCGTAGACAGGAGAACATTTCTGACCTCTGAAGTCATGCTTCTGTTATGTTCAGCCTGGGTCAGGTGCTTGCAGACATGCGCCTTCGCTGGCTCAGGGTAACCACAGGCATCAAGGCTGGCCTGTAGAGTGAGACCGAAAAATCAGAATGCTTTTTTTGCTGGAGGAGGTTAACTTTTGGGTCCTTACTAAGTGTCATCTTTAAATATATGCCAAGTACTTGTTCGGAAGGAAAGGGTAGGAGAAAGAAAATGGTGTGACTGGGTGAGGTGTCAGGGTAAGTAAGCCATCCGATTTGATCCATAAGCATCTTGGGAGGATTGGGTGACCAGTCTGCTGGTTCCCCCCCAGCCCCGCCGCCTGACGTTATTGAAAGTGTGGTGGTTAAGAATTCAGAAGGAGCCGGTGCCCTTTCTGAATGAAAAGTTTTCCCAGGCAAAATGACTTACTAATCTTATAGAAATGGATCCTGTGAATGGGAAGATTTCCGCTCTAAAAAAGAACTATTGAAATGTTTTGGCACCAGGAGGGTAGTCTGAAAGCTATGATGAGTTTATACCAGTTTCATTCAACTTTTATTATAATTACTACTATGACTAATAGTCTATTAAATGAAAAGTTACCTGGCCATCTTTTCATCCCTATAGGACTTGATGATTAAAAAACCAGACCATTTGTATTCTAGTCACTTGCAAAGGATTCGGGGAGACAGGCTACCCAACTGCCAAGGGGAAGCGTAGCATGCTAACTAGGGAGGTGAGAGCGCCCGGCTGGACCACCTGTATACCCAAGTTGAATAGCCCGATTACAAAGACACGGCCTTGGGCCAGCTCTTGAGCTCGGCGTTTGAACTCTTGTCAACACCAAGTTTATTCATGTTCTCAAAGCCTGGCGGGTTTACTATTGTCAGCTCCTCTTGGGGTGTCTAGAACAAAGCCAGCAACACGTTTCAAGTGAATCTGGGCTCACGGATACAACCGAAAGTGTTCTTTTTAAAACCTGGAATTTGAGATCATTTTAGCTTATGCTTAAAGAAAGTGTAAAATGGATGGGGGTTTGATTTTGTTCCTTTTTAGAAGGAGAAATAATAAATGGGATGGTTCATCTGTAGACTCGGTCCTTTTAAGTCAGGGACCTAAAAAGTTGTTTTCTAGCCACCGTTCTTTCCCATAACAAGCATTTTTGAGCCTACTGTGTGCATAGCATTATCAGGGTGTTAGGAACGTGGCAGGTGCTTTTAAAAGCTTTTCAAAAGAGTCCTTTGGATTTGGATGTTAGGCAAAAGCTCTCAGAGCCCAAATGGCAGACTCCTTGGCTAGCTCTCTTTACTTCATTCAGAACTATTGCCTTTTTCTTCATGTTGATGTACAAGTGAAAGCACTGTTTTTTTGCACTAGGTGTTGAAATCTGTGTCTGTGTGATTTCTTCCCCAATTACTAGAAAATCCACCCAGAGAGAACACCTTCAGAGAAATTGTTAACCGTGAAGGAGTTTGAATCACGTAAGTCTCCCTGTGACTGGCTGAGGAGTTATCTTACCCACACATTATCTGTGAATTAGACGGGATTGAGGAAAGGAAGAGATAGCTGGATTCTTAGTGGTGGTGGGGAAGCCGGATTCTTAGTGGTGGTGGGAATTTTACGATTACCAGTTTTTATTTTGACTTGTGTGCTGTTTTGAAAAATGAATATAACTTTTTTTTTTTCTGAGTTGCTAGGACCTGCTAGGAAATAATTAAGGGGAAGTAGGAACTTACAGGATGAATTGTTACATCCTACGCTATCTCCTGCTGGCTCTCCTGGCATGCTGAGTATTTTTTGGATCTTTGCTGAATTGCAGTCCTGTAAACAGCTGACGTCCTTATGGAAAGGCATTAAATCAGGGGCTGTCCACTTTCTCGATCATGACGTAGACTCCAGGGCCAATCGGGGGGCCCTTGACTTGACCAAGCTAGTTATCGGTCATCGCCACTCATTCCTGACCTTGTTGCTAATGGTCAGTTGAAATTCCCTGTCCTGAGTGACTTCCAGTTGTCAGAGGAAGAGAAGAAAGAAATGGCACGCTTTTCTTGCCCTAGGGTTTATCAGTTAGACCAAATGAGGAGGAGGTATATTTCCTGGGGGCTCCACGTAGTTTTTTCTCCCACTTCATGCCATTTACAGGATATAGCTAGACTCCAGAGTTTAACACACTTGAACATGATCCCAATAAAAGGATATAGCTAGAAGTCCAGAGTTTTCTACCAGCTGAATGATGGTTTATCCACAGATCTGGATAAATTAGACAATGAGAAGAAAGGTTTGATTCAGAGTGACATTGCTGCTCTCCATCACTTTTACTCCAAGCACCTTGAGTTCCCTGACAACCATAGCCTGGTAGTTCTCTTCGCACAGGTAAGAATGCGAGCATCAAGTGACACTTAGTCTAACCTTTCCCTGCCTGAGTCCCTCCCCCCACCACGTGGTCGGTGAAGATGAACGAAAGTAGAACGATGGCATCTACTTGGCAACATGGTGCTTGACCTATTGGGCCCTGTTTTGCATCGACTGGCTGGGCGTCCTTGAGCAGATCAGGGTGCTGTCTGTGCTGGCCCTCATTGATGGTGGCACATAGGAAATTTGCCCTACCTCTGCCTCTTGCTGCAGGAAGGGTTTATGAAAACAGAGGAGTTGCCAGTGCCCCAGTACCATGGCATATTGGAAGCTCTTTGAATAGAAAAGACCATTTGAGGTTCCTACATTAAATTTTACTCTTCTCTTAAACCTTCCCTTCTGACAGTAGTGGGCTTTTTTTGGTTGGTTGTTTTTGTTTTGTTTTGTTTTTTTACTCCTACCAACACTGTATGGATAAATAGAGGCAAATACAGACGGCCCCAGGAAGGACAGTCACCAAAGAGAGGAGCCCAAGTGGGTCTACGTACAGGAAGTCTTTCCTGATGGTTGCTAAGAAATCCTATTTAGAGGAGCCTAGGTTTACCAAAATCAGATATGATAAAAAAAAAAAAATTAAAGAGGCTTCTAGACAAGAGCAACTTAAAGGCGCTAAGGCTGGTTGCCAAACCAGCCATTTGGAAAGGCCGAGGCTCCGTTGGGCATGGCTAGGACACAAAAGACAGTGCAGCCGCCACCCTTTGGCTGAACACAGTCTGGCTGCATCAGTCTTCTGTTACTGTGAGGGTGGCTCTTCCTGGCATGACTTACCAGATCGGATTTCTCTCCCTAACATACCCTTGCGTTTTCCCCTCCAAGCTGAACGTGTAGTTGAAGGTGACCTTCCCAGAAAGAGAGGTACTAGAATACTGCTCTGTGGGCACAAGTAGTTACATTTCCCTGCCAGAGCCTTCAGTGCCTAGATGGATAAAAGAGCTTGGTAGATACTTACACATTTTCATCTTAGGACAGAGTAAGCATCGCCTATATACCCCTTGACCCACTAATTCCATTTTTAGGGATCTAGCCTAAGGAAGTAGTCAGAGATTATGGACAGAAATTGACATGCAAATTGTTTATTGCGTGGTTCTTTTTAAAACCAAAAAAAAAAAAAAAAAAGAAAAGGGAAAAAAAGAGAAAACGAAAAGGAAGTACATATTATAAATGGTCAGCAGTAGGAGTCTGGTAAATAAATTTTGGCTTAGCCTTACGATGGAAGGTTATGTAGCCTTTATAAATTACATTTCAAAGAATATCTGAAGATGTGAAAAACGTTGATGATAAAACATTAAGTGTAAGAGCAGGGGAATGTGTAATATGAAAATTTACTTACGTTAAAAAAAAAAGTTGAAACGGAAGTTCACTGTTGGTTATCTCCTGAGTTGTGGAAAATTTTTGCTTTTTTGTTGGATGATTTTTCTGGATTTTCTACAATGAGCATGGATAACTTAAGAAAATACTAAAAAGAGGAAAAGATGAAAAGCACCCATAGTTCTCCCACTTTAAAAATTGCACATATCAAGAAAGAAGTGAGTCATCACCACTTCATTCACCTACTTCAACCCCTCCGTGAGAAACACCGTGAACAGTTTGATGAGTTCCTTGATAGACTTTATGTTTATGTGGATATATTTCTATTGTGTGACTGTCATAATCAGAAAAAAATGCTGTTCTCGGTAAAAGAAAAAATGGGTTCAAGGTATGAGTGTTAATAGGCATGATGAAAAACCTTCCTGATTTCATTATATGATCCTGGGATTATTACAGCATATTTCCCTACGCATCCTAAGACAGTGGATTTGGGTGACAGTACAAAGTTGAGGAATTGACTTCTCTTACATTTTTTAAAAAGCTAGATACATGACTTCTTTTCTGGATTAGATGAGGCATGGTTCTGTGAGAAAGCAAGAGAGATGAAATAAATATAGGTATCTTTCCACTGCAAGCTGTGGAAAAAACAACTTTTTTTTCCAACACAGTAATGCATGCTGATGGGACTTCTCAGTGTTGACATAGTAGATATGGGACCATAGTTACCAAAAATCAAGGCACTTGGTGTCACAAGCAGAAATATATTTGTGCTGAAAATGACTCAGAGTCCTTGAAATTTGGACTGACTCAGAAAATCCAGGAGATAGATACAGATATATATATATATACACACACATGCACACACACACATATATAACTATAGGTAATTAATTCCTTGAAAGACTTTATACTTATCAGATCATAATATCCACTCTGAGATCGTGTGTGTACACATAGGTGCACATACTGCACACATACATATCTTTTCTCCATATATAAATTTGAAAAGGGACATTCAGTACCCTCAAAGACAACTTTAAAGCAAAACTGAAAAGTGCTGTTCCAGCCCCATGCCGCCTTCTGGTCCTGCCTTTCAGCCCTCAGCTGCATGTCTGCTCTTCCAGCCTCTGAGCCCTTTCCTCTCTCTGGTTCATGGGAGAGTGTTGTGGCTTAGCTCGTGGCCCAGCAGCAGCTGGTAGCAGAAGGTGACTGCGCTCCTTCGGCAGCGCTGAGGTGCATTTTAATCACCGGGAGCATATGCATGGTTGGGAAGTGTATTTTTGGTGTGCAGCCTACATCTAGTCTAGATGCTGATTATGAGAATAGCTTCAGTAAGGCACTTAACGCCTGACTTGACTTGGAAAAAAAAAAGGACGATGGCCCATGCATCTTTCTTAACAGGCAAATTCACTTTTCTTCCCTAGGGATATTTCAGAAGGGAGGGAAAGCTAGCAGGCAAATTGCTATGCAAGTTGGCTTAAACACCATTACCGCCTCCCAGAAAGGAACAGTGATGACACTTGTGCTCACAGGAGCCGTTCTTTGCAGTGAAGAAACACACTGTCTCCTCCACAGTGAGAGGAGGGCGGCAGAGGGAATAAAGCCGACCAGTGGTCGTGCAGCGTTGAAGCCTGAAAGCGTTTGGAGTCATAGACAGTCCAGCTGAGAACCTCGAAGGGGAAGAGATTACGAAGCAAAGGGACAAGTCTCCTTCCCCGACCTCCCAAAGCTAGTCAAGAGCTGTCGGTCCCTAGATCAGTTGTAAAATTGCCAAGTTCTCTCATTCATTCTTCCACTTCACAGACGTTTGTTGTCATCCTGTGGGTACCAGCCACTGCTGAGGCATGTTAGTATCCAGTCTGAGACTGGGTATAGATCATTCAGTTCCTAGTACGGTGCAGGACGCATAGTTCATGCTCCAGTAAATTTTGTTGAATGAATGAAGGTGCTGATTTCCTCTTAACATAATGTTGGTTGATGGTCACTCATTAATGATAGTTGGTTAATGTCCTGATGACAGAATAGGTTAGAGTACCTGAAGCTGGCACAAAAAATAGTATGCTAAGTCTTCTACATAAAAATGCCCAACACCTCAGGATTTCAAAAACTGTATATTGTTCTACTAGCCTACAGTCATCTCTTTTTATGTTGAAAATTGTAAATACTGATCGTAAATGTGTTGAATTGTAAAAACTGCAAGTCAAACCCATCAGAGCCTTTACTTCTCTATGTACCAAGATTTCCAAGCCTTTGACACTGGCCCTTCAATTTTAAGTAAAATTGCAACATTAAGAATCAGAGATCAGAACAGTTTTAGAAGCATGGTACAGTGAAAAATACTTGTGTTTCTGATGGCTTTGCCATCAGAATGTCTAATTTGAATTTTGACTCCTGTTCTGCCACTTGCTACTTACATGGCCTTGAACAAGTCACTTAATCATTGACTTCCCTGAACCTCAGTTTTCCCATCTGTAAAATGGGTTATGCCAGAGTAGTAGTATGGATTTATGAGAGGGTAAATATGCAGCACCCAGCCCAGTGCCTAGCCCAGAGTGAGTGCTTGGTGGGTGCTAGTTTTAAAAAGCCCATCCATTGGCCTGAAAGGCGCCAATGTGGTGTGTCTGGTAGGAAGGAGCCTGGCTGCAGCTCACGGGGTGAAATCATTCAGCATGCAGGCTTCACAGACAACCTCATAGCTGTCAGGGAGAGCAGGGCTCTCAGCCTTTGCCCCTGGCTTTGGGTGAGTCACTGCCCCTCTCTGACCTTATTTTCATCATCTGAAAAGTAAAGCGACCGATTCCCCTTCCAGTTGTGAAGTTTTAGATCCAAATGAAAAATACCCACCGAATTAACCGTCTCCCAGGAGCCTGGGTGTTCCTGGAGAGCACAGATTTTGGCCCGTTCTTCCTTCTCTGCACAGTGCCCAACATATAAGGGTTCCTCGGTGGATGTCTGTGGAAAGAGTGAGTTTATGAAACAGTCTGAACTGGGGAAGTATAGTCCTTATTTTCAGCTATGAGCTCTAAATTAGACTTCCAGGATGTTGAGAGCTGCCCTTGGTGATTTTCAGTGTAATATTTCTTTTCAAAGATGAACAAGTGGCCAGTAGTTGATGTGGCTGAGGCATGAAGGAACATTCTCAGTCCCAAGTAGCTTCAGGGCCTTGGTCCCCCTGCCTCTCAAGGGGATGGACAGCAGTTAGATTAGCTATGTAAAGGCTATTTGCCGCCTCACCTTATGAGCTAGGTACCAGGTTAAGTGACTCCTTTTTTTAATGGAGGAAAACCGAGGGCAGAGGAACACGGTGATGGGCTTAAGATCCCACACCAGGTCTGTGGCATAATTAGGATCAGAGTGCAGATGTCCTGACTCCCATGCAGATCTGCAGACTTCAGTCCTTGGAGCCTTAGTGGTTCGTTGTGCTCTTGGGCTACCATGGGCAGGTGGGCAGGTGGGCTAGACTAAGGGTGCATCAGCCCTGACAGTTCTGTTTCTATTTGTTTACACATGAGACTGATCTGTAAGCTGTGTTTGAACATAAGATATCTTGGCCAAAAGAAAGGTTTTCAAATCACTAAACCAAACATCTTCCTAGTTAATTTGTTAAAGGTTAAAATTAAAGAAATGATTTCTATCCAGAGAGAGGCTTTAGCTCATTTTTTTTTTTCTTTCTCTCTCCCCTTCCTTTCTCACTACAGGTTAACTGTAATGGCTTCACAATTGAAGATGAAGAACTTTCTCATTTGGGATCAGCAGTATTTCCTGAGTAGGCTGAGTGTGGCTTCATTTTTTTTCTTTTTACTTATTCATCACTAATTTGAATTTGTTTTTGATTTTTAAATAACCTCCCTAACTGCATGTGGCACACATGAAACTCCAAGTGAATTAAGTCCCCTTTTTAATTATGCCAGATTTCAAAATATTTCCCCTGCATTTAAGGATCTGAAGGTAGTAGTTAAGACAACAGTTGCTTGGTAAGTCCTGCTAGGTAGAGAGTTGTTATTCAAGAATGTTTTAGAGTGTGCATAGAAGGAACAGCCCAGGCCCTGCTGAGAAATTTGCTTTTTGCATATCTGTGGTTCTGGGAATCTTTGGGTTTCTTCCACTCAAAGGAAAACATTAATTGCCAAGAATTGGCTGTAGACTTACGTAGAGACTGTGTAAGCTTCTTGTTCATCTGTCCTTTTTGAAAAATACCAGTATAGAAACAGCACATCTTGGAGGGAGAATATGCTAAAGTAGTCAACTAGGGAAAAATTTCAAAGAACGATAGGATTTTTCTTTATGTTAGGAATACTCAGGTAATTCAAGAAAGGCCAGCCAGTTGAGCAACGGAGATCATTATAGCTCTGATTGTAATGGACTGCCAAGCATGGCTTTGCCGTTATCTATTTGATGGACAGGATGGTCTCCAAATGCGTCAGTCCCCTGACATCAAGCCCTGGCTTCACAGATGGAGCAAAGGAGCCCTTCCTGCATCCCCTGTCTTGAGTTCCTCCACACTGTAGATTAGTTTCATCTAAAGTGATGTTGCTTAATATAAACTACAGGAGCCTCTGCCTCTAGGTTGAAGCAATTGCAGGAAACCCTTAACACCCATGCTTTGGCCGTGGATGGCACGTGAGCCCTACATGTTTGTCTGTTGCTGCCCAGCTCTGTGCATCGTACGGGTCTGAAAGACAGAAAAATCTGTTCAGGTCCATGTCCCCTGATCAGCTGTCACAGGCTTTCTTGAACCAGAGAAACACAAAGTTTATTCCCGTGGTATTACTGTTTCTGTGGCCAAAATGGTGTCGTCTGCAGTCTGAATTCTGACGGTGAGGAAAGAAGTGGTTTGGGGAAAGGTTCTTTGGGACCTTTGCCTTGAAAAAGAAGAGAAAGGTGATTAGACCCTCTATAGAAGGCTCATCTTGACATCTTCAGCCCTGAAATGAGCTCTGGAATGTCTGCTCTTGGTATGTGAAAGATCGAAAGCAAGGCTAAGGGTGGTGGTGCTTGAGGTTTCACCCTGTCCAGCAGTTGCCAAGAGAACGGTGGTACCAAGAGCATGAGCTGTGATAGGTGTCCTGCCTTCGGGCAGGTCCCCCGCCTTCATGAGAAAGATGGCCAGGAGTCTGTCTTGAAATGAGTTACTTAATACTTTTGCAAAATGGTTCTACAAACCTGCTCTTCCACTAAGAACAACCTCTGGTGCCTTTCTTTGTCAGATTTCCTAGGACCTGATTCCCTGTGCATGACTTGCTGGGAAGCAGGGTGGAGGTGACCCTCCCCACGGACAAGACAGGGAAGCCGCCGCATGGCCCTGCCCATGGCAGCCACCCCCTTCACCCAGACCTCTAGCAGCCGCTCCCCTGGTACACGACGATCCAGGGGGCAGCTCCTCTGCATCAGGCTCTCCAATCCCCTTGCTTTTTTGTGTTCATGGAGCAAACAGGAGAAGGGGTTTTGGTCACTGAGCGTCAGGCGAGTCACACCGGCCACCAGAGCCATGATGCACCGGGATGTGAGTGCCCATCTGAGCCCCAGTTTGGATCCAGGCAGTTTTAATTGGAGGGAAAAATTCCCTTTGGCAGAAATCATATCAGCATTGTGATTTCCAAGGCAGCATTTTCAGAGATCAAGCACTTTTCCCCTGTAGTTTAGAAATTTCTGTTCTCAGAACTTTGACCTTGATATAATCAGAAAGCTCAAAGCCCTCACATAGGCGACTCTCTCTGTCCTCGCCGTCCCTGTAAAGCAGACCGCAAGCAGCCGGAGCAGCAATGTCCCAATTTTCCAGATGAGGAAATTGAGGTGCAGAGCCTCAGACGGGCTCCTCCAGGTCTCTCAGGGAATCACACACCCTCACTCAGGAAGCCGGCATCTCCTGCGGTGCCGATTTCTCAGCATCTGAAGACAGCATGTTAGAAATCGTCCTCTGATATAAAAAGCTGCTTGGCAGTGACAGCCCATTTGTCTTGTACAGTGTCCAGTGGAGGAGCTGCTCACTGTAGGTGTTGAGTTTTGAGTCCTGCATCTAACAGGAAGGAATTTGTTGTTGTTGCTGTCTTTATCGTTGTTGGGGGGGTTTTTTGGTTTTGTTTTTGGCTTAGAAATCACCGTTCTGAATTGCAGATTTCAGTACTGTTCAAATTTAAGGTGTTAGATATTGTCATAAATGCATGCACAACAACCTCTTAGACTCTGATGGCCAGCTGTTAGATTTTTTTTAATGTCCTACAAAGATCCAGTTTCTGTAACTTAGCAAGTAAGTGGTCAAGGAGTTACCTGAACAGTCTGTCTGCCTTCCTGAGAACATTGGGTTTTCTCTTCTCATTGACAGTGTTGCACTGATGAATCATAGCTGTTGCCCCAATGTCATTGTGACCTACAAGGGGACCCTGGCAGAAGTCAGAGCTGTACAGGAAATCCACCCTGGAGAGGAGGTGAGTGTGTGGCTGAGGGCAGCCGTGTGGTGGGTACCATCCTCAGTCCCTCCAGGGTTCAGGGTCAGACCTGCGGCTTGATCCAAACTTTCAGCTTCCATTTGGCGCTCGCCATGTCCATCTGTGGCCAAAAAAAGAAACCAGGGAAGAATAGATTCGAGTAAGGTTCCTCACAGAGATTTATAGAAAAATGAGACTGCCAAAATGAGCAAAATGCAATCTTAGAGTCTGTGTATTCCCATTTCCAAATAATTGGGTTTGAGTTTATTTTTGATTCATGAATTTTGGCCTGTTCCCCCCGGGCCCGCAAAGAGAAAAGCAACCCAGTAGTAGCTAACGAGTTACAACTCCAAATGACATCAACGGTTCAAGTCGTATCAGTTCCACATCTGAACGGCTGCCTGGAGCAGTTTGTCACCTGGACTGGCTGTGTCTGGGCCGCGAGCGGCCTTTGTCGCCATCTTCTGGGCCCTTCTGTCTGTTGCACCATGTGCCCATCAGTCATTTCAAAGAGATGAGGCAGGCTCTGGCCACTGGGGCAGGGTGAGGCTGAGGCTCGCTCCTGTTGTTTTGCCCTCCTGCTGTCACAAATCAGAAATGCAATCTCCTCCTTTTGGGCAAGTCACTGTTTTGGGGGTTACCTGCCCTACAAAGGGGAAAAAGCCAGTCCCTGGGGTGTCAGATGAGCCACAGGGTCTCTGTTACTGCCCGTTGCACTGGGGAGAGCTCAGGGCACCTGCAAGCACCTAGCCTGTGTGGGTCCCCCACCCTCGCCTGCCCGCCAGTGCCCGAGGTTACTGGCACAGTGACGGCTTTGGGACATCCATCTGTTCAGTCAGACGTTTGCCTGATGGTGTGGGATGAGCAGCAAGTGCCATCCCAGTGAGTAGATAATGGACAGTTAAATGCCGGCCTCCTCCATATGCTGCAAGTCTCAGTTATAGAGCCCGTTAGAAAAAAGCAAGGACGGGAGAACTTGAGGAGCCCAAAGGTATGACTTTTCCAAGTTCTCTGGCCCGGCTGGGTAAGGCAGCAGCTTGCTGGTGGCCTAGGAGCTGCATCCTCCCTGTGCTGACCTGTCCCGGCCTGCTGAGCCGAGCTTCCTGGTCCATTGCCAGCTGATGGCAGGATAAAGGGACACACACCGTGTGTGTGTTCATGTTCCCCCTGCACCCACCCAGCAGTGCATCTAGGCCGTCCCGGGTTGTGAGATCAAAGAGGCTAAACAAAGACCAGGAAGAGATAGTGCAGGGCCCATCCCAAGCATGAGTAGGCTCTTTGCCCATCGTGGCCTTTGCTTCTATACACAAGACAGGGGCATCTACTGCTGGGCCAGATTCACAGCTTGCTCTCTGGGGAGGAAGGAAGCGGGATGCTCTCAACCTTCCAAATGACCGTTTTAGGGATTCCTTGATTCTGTAGGAGGTGGGTAGAGAAGCCCTTTCTCTTCACCACCACTAGCGGGTGCTCTGTTTGAGGAATTCAGTGTGTTAAGGTAAAAGACTGTATCCTGAGCTCCGGCCCTCCTGTCCCTGCAAGGTCACCATCAGGAATGTTTGCAGAGCGACAGGCAGGATGAGGCGTGAGTTGGCCTGTAGCAATCTGCAGCATCAACGTTTTGGACCCCCTTAGGTTTTTACCAGCTACATTGACCTCCTGTACCCAACAGAAGATAGGAATGACCGGTTAAGAGATTCTTATTTCTTCACCTGTGAGTGCCAGGAGTGCACCACCAAAGACAAGGTAAACTCCCCGACCCGGCACAAGTGCTGACTGTGCTCTCTCTCTCAGGGCCTCTGTGCCAAGCGAGCGCCCCTGTCTGACTTGGGGCGTCTCCTCCTGTCGTATTTTTGAGGCTTTAAACCGCCTTACTAGCATAGCCCGGGGGAATCCAGTTAGACCAGATCTTTGTTCAAACCTGATTCTCGCAGCTAATTAAAACATTTCCATCACATTGTTCAGATAAGAGAAGGATTTGCCAAATTGCTATGTCTTGAAAAGAAATGGCTGCTCAAAAGAGAGGGAAGGGAAAAAGCACATGAGAAACATTTTCAAGCTTTCCCACCTATTCACCAGAATCTGAAGAATTTTCTTTGGCATTGCGCAAATTATTTTGTCAATGCCACCCCTCCTTATTTTATTCTCTTGATTTCACAGATGTCTGAACACACATATCTGCCCACAGCAAACATATTCTCGGTGTCTTGCCTCGATAAGGAGGGTCTAGAAAATTAATATTTTTTTTTTTTTTGTAAAAAAGTAATGAGTATTGAACTTCTCTTAGATCCCCTGCCTGATTCCCTTTCATTCTTTTGTAACTTTAGAATGGGTAGGCCTCTACCTCTGCATGGGAAAACGTGCTATTGGAGAGGTCTCCCCATCAGTATGGTTTCCGTGGGAAGTAACCTGTGGACATTTTCCTCAGGATAAGGCCAAGGTGGAAATCCGGAAGCTCAATGATCCCCCAAAGGCAGAAGCCATCCGTGACATGGTCAGATATGCACGCAATGTCATTGAGGAGTTCCGGCGGGCCAAGCACTACAAATATATCCTTTACAACCAGCCCTCCCTTACAGGGGGTGTTGGGGAGTTTGGGCACGGGGAACGGGGGGAGAATGGGTTTCAGATTCTGAATATTGGAGGAAGGATGTGTCCTGATAAATGTTTAAAGACTTACTCGCCATCCATCACTTGGAGTCAACTACATCAGCATTTCATGATGTTGACCGTATCTGTTTCTCCTCTTTGACTAGTTGGCTCAGGAGCGCATCCTTGTGGAAGACGTTTATTGTCTAAAACTGCAGAACTGTTCCTTGAAGACCCTCACTGACTGGGTATCTTCCTTTGGGCAAGGCACCTCACCAAGGGTTTTGCTGTGTAACAGATGGAAACAGCCTCATAGATAGCAAGTAATTTGCCCAAGGGACACAGTTCACCAGGTCAGAGCCAGGTTTTGCCCCAGGTCTGCTAGCACAATCCATTTTTTTTTTTTTTTGCGGTATGTGGGCCTCTCACTGCTGTGGCCTCTCCCGTTGCGGAGCACAGGCTCTGGACGCGCAGGCTCAGCGGCCATGGCTCACGGGCCCAGCCGCTCTGCGGCATGTGGGATCTTCCCGGACTGGGGCACGAACCCGTGTCCCCTGCATCGGCAGGCGGACTCTCAACCACTGCGCCACCAGGGAAGCCCACAATCCATATTCTTAACCGCTGTGGTATAGCATTTTCTTGGGTGTTGAAAAGGCATTAGATTCGTACTGAAGAAAGAAAGAAAACCAGTGACAGGAAATTGGAGAAAGACACATTTTTTTCTGAGTGTAAAAAAGAACGTTCCCATGGTGGGGACTTTTTCCTTAAGAACTTTAGCAAAAATTCTCAGCTTGGGTGAGGATTTAAATTTAACTAGAAAATTGAAGATTTTTGATTCTAATCAATATTGTTTACAGCTGAAAGGAGGCTCTGTTCCCTGTGGCTAAAATTCTTTGTGTTTAACAGCTGAGGTCTCCAGTTTCTCCTAGTCTTTTTCTTCCAGAAAAATATGACTCCTTTCACTTTTGCCGGGCTTTCTGTAATTTACGTTTTCGGAGGGTGAAGCTAGAGGTGGAGTGAACAAAATAGCAACTCCTTGCCCCTGGGGCCTTGGGAAGCCGCCTAGCTCATCTGCCAGGCCTGTCCTTTCCTTGACTCTAGAGCACCCCCTAGTGAGCTGCTGGAGATCTGCGAGCTCAGCCAGGAGAAGATGAGCTGTGTGTTTGAGGACAGTAACGTGTACATGCTGCACATGATGTACCAGGCCATGGGCGTCTGCTTGTACATGCAGGACTGGGAGGGAGCCCTGCGGTACGGACAGAAAATCATCCAGCCCTACAGGTGATTGCAGTGGCGCTTCCCATCATCTTAGCACAGAATGGAAGTGGGTGATTTAGAATGGTCCCTTGGCTCTTCTGTCTTGACGCTATCATGTTGGAGCATGCCAGAAGCAGCTTTCTGTCCTCTGTACACATCTGGAGGTGCAGGCACAGGGTGCTTCCGCTGGGCCCGGCCTGTGCCCTCCACCACCCGAAAGAGGCACCCAGGGAGGCAGACTGAGGTGACGCAGCGGGTGCTGGGGCAGGATCCCTCCCAGGACCCATCCAGGATACTCCGTCCACAGTAGTTAATTCAGACCAGTATTTAAAAGCCACCGGTTTGTTTCGTTCCCCTCCCATGCCTTCCAAGTTAAATGGCACTTAGTAATCCATTAGTGGTTTTCTGTCCCCTTCTTTTGCTTTTTTCAGGGTGCAGCATCAGTTTTGCAAATGGGGAAACTCTGGGACTGGTGTGTTGTCTGTGGTTATTTAATATCCTCCCCTAGATTTGAATAAAATAAGTTGGATTTTAACTTGTAGTGATAATGAATGTTAACCATGGGCAAGTTTCCATGTTGAGAGGGTTAGTAAACCTTAAAATGGGTGACAGAAGGAGGTTCTGAGTAGCCACTTCAGGGCCTGGCTGGCCTAGATCAGATCACTGGGGCGTCTGTTAAACACATTTACATTATGCATTTACAGGGTCCTCTCCAAGACCAAGTGGATCAGAATCTCTGGGTATTGGACTTGAAATCTCTGTGTTCCAGAAGCACCCTGAGGGCTTTTGAGAAGCACTCAGTACTTCTTCAGGTTCTAAGATTGGGGACTGTAAAGTTTATGTCCAGTCTGAATTTCCACTGCCCAGTCGGCCCTCCACTTACCTCACAGTGCCCTGATTAGCCAGCAGGGGGAGCCCATGGGGGAAGCCAGCTCCTAAAATCTGCTCCTGGAAACAGAATTTGATACTTTAGGGATAATCTCAAAGCCTGTCCTTCTTCCTGAGGTGGGTGAGGAAGTCCTCTGGGCTTCAGTCCCTCTGTAGATCTGTAGGGAGAGAGACAGAATGAGAGTGAATGTTGGCTTTGTGGTTGCTCTCCCAGCAGGGCTTGCTGTGCTGGACCCTCTGTTAGCTTAGGGAGCTCTTCCGGGGGGCCCAGCCCTGGCCTTCTCTTGGTTGCTGGCTCTAGGGATCTCTCTGGGCAGCGAGCTGCCCGCTGCCTAGGAATACAGCTAGAATGTGTCTCTTTTGGATGGACTTCGAGGATAGAGCAGGTAGAACAGACCAGCCTGTAAATAAACACCTTGAACACACACACGTGTGTACACACACACACACACACACACACACACACACACACCAGCTGCCTCCTGGTGTCTGTTCCTAGGGAGATGGCTCCTTCCTAGGCAGGCCCCATCAGTCAGCCTTCAGTTAAAACCAGCGAGAATACCTGCTGTCTACAAAGCCTTCTGCTGGGCAATAGAGAAGGAATATCTAGAAGAAGTAGGAGGTGTGTACCTGACTTCAGAGAGCTTATAATTTTGCCAAACCAACTGATAATCATAGAGTGTGACAGAAAGCCGAGGTCTTGAGACATTGGTATGTTTCTGTCTTTAAGTATACTGTCTTTTTAATATGAGGGGATAGGCCTATTGTCCTCATAAAGAGGGAATTTTCCCGATGCCCTGTGATGTGTGCACCTAAAAGACAAAAATCTGGGGCTGGGACTCAATGTTGTGTTTATACATGTTTTTCTATAGGATCTCCCCTGTAGTTTTTATGTGGTTTTTCAGAAACACACAAACTGCATAAAATGAAGTGCATCCACGATGGGTAGACAGGGTTGAACCATCCATGCCCTCCACTCAGCACCTGCCGGGGTCTGGAGGAGCCTGGCTGCCGTGGAGAGTGTGGCCATCAGCTGGGCGACCACAGCTCACTGCACCCGGCCTGTGGGCTCTCGGCAGCCGTTGACAAGGTGGCCTGTTGTCTCTTCTCTCCTTCCAGTAAGCACTATCCTCTGTATTCCCTCAACGTGGCCTCCATGTGGCTGAAGCTGGGAAGATTGTACATGGGCCTGGAGAACAAAGCTGCTGGGGAGAGAGCTCTGAAGAAGGTATGTGTGTGATGTGAGGTTAGGAGGCCCAGTGCCTGATGGACTCCTCACACTTCCCTTCCTGCAGGACTCACGTGACTGACGGAGTCGTGGAGAAAGACTAGCCCTTGGCTGCCCTCCAGCCATAGGAGTGGGAGGGGGATGGATTCAGCAGGCGGCAGGGTAGTAAGTAACTGAGGCTTTGGCACGTTTGCATCCTGACCCTTCTGTTGGGAAAGGGGTGTCCACATTGTGGTTACAGGTTCACAGCTGTGGGGAAGGGGGTACTTGCCCTTTGTCCCCTGGGAAGCCATGGAAGTGCTCTAAGTATGTGATCATGATACGAGGCTGGCATTATTAAAATGTCTTTTCTGGTCCACTATTACCGATAAAAAGAAAGGAAAAATAAAAAAGAGGCCATGGATAGGTCAGGAGACCGTAGTGAGGGAATTCTCCAAATTTCTGCCCTTTGGGATTTATAGATTCATGATGCCTGATTGTGGTGAAATCAAGGCAGTTGGGTCTGGAGAGGCCCTCAGCATGAGGATTATCCATCTGCAGTTTCTAAAATAGGCTTAATAATCATTGTTAGCGTTCATTGAGTATGGTTATGTGCCAGGACCTGCCAGTGGGCCAGGGGCCAGGCCCTGCCGCTCACAGAAGCACAGCCACCATCCCAAGTATTGGTTCTCATTGCTGTTTATATAGGAATCAACAGTTGATAAAATACAATCTTTGGGACAATTATTATTTATGTAGAAGACAAAGGTTGATAAAATGTAACCTTTGGACAGTCTGTTTATACCTGTTAAGAGAATCTTTGTGAAAGTTGGGGCCGTGGACTAGGCTTGGATGCCTAATTCTCCAGATTCCCCATATCTTCCCGATACAGTATACGGAAAGATGGAGTAAGGTCCGACATCCCAAAAGGAAGGGCCAGGGCTGACCCAGCCTAGAAGTGGGAGTTAAGAATAAAACCTTCTGTTTTTAAACTGTGGAAGTTGTCTTCTAAGATGCCATTTATTGCTTTGGTGAGGTTGGAAAAAAATTAACCAGTTAGGTCTCAACGGCAGAGTGCTGTTAAGTAACTAATTGCTGATCACCGAAGGATAGAGTAGATCTGAGGAAGGAACACGAGTCCTGACGTGAATGCAGAGGGCAAGGAGAGACATTTAAACCAGGCGATTCCTGAAGGCTTGCACCCCTGTTGGGTTGAGATCTAGGAAGAGAATGGTAGAATAGAAAGGAAGGCCCGTCAGAGTCACAGGCCATCAAAAATTCCCTGTTTGGGGGACGTGGGAATAACTTAAGTTTTTCGATCTGTGAAGAATACAGTTGAATACAAAAGAGCAAAATTAAGTATTACGGATTACCTTAGATACGTAATTCCTATATGCCAGGCGCTATTCTAAACACTTCATGTGTGTCAACAGCTCTGAGAGGTATGTGTTCTTCCTATTTTACAGATGAGGACAGTGAGGTACAGAGTAGTTAAGTAAATTGCCCAAGGTTACACAGCTAGAAAGTAATGGAGCCACTGGAAACTCTTGCACTTAAAGAAACCTTATTAAATATGTGCTCTCTGGATTCCTCACATGAAACTTGTGCCTATTTTTAAGTTTTTAAAGAATATGTATAAAGATGTAAGCGTGCACTTTTTGAAAGGGAAAAACGGTTTAGTCATGTCTTATACATTAGTAATATGAACTAAAATCAAAAAGGTTTGTCCCTAAATCAATTTCTCTATCATTTCTTCAGCTACTGAAGAATGTTTTCCTCAGCTGTAGAGACTGGGTGACTAGTCGGATGTGAGAGAATCTTGTCCTCTTTTCTTTTTAAAAAAAAAAAGCCAGACTCTGGAGGCTAACACAGGCTCTGAAAGCCAGTTTGCATCCTGTGCCTTCAAGCAGAGAGGTCCAGCCTGAATTAAAGTTAGTCCGGGGGAGGGGCAAGGGGACTGGCTTCAGGCTCTCAACCCCTGTTCTCTCTCTCCTAGGCCATTGCCATCATGGAAGTAGCTCATGGCAAAGACCATCCATACATTTCTGAGATCAAACAGGAAATTGAAAGCCACTGAAACTATGCTGACATTTTAGTTTTTATTTAAATCCAAGTGCAAAAACCTTCGAGGATTTGACTGTTTCAAATCATACACGTCATGCCAGCATCTCTGTAAACTCATTGGAATGAAAACACAACTTGCACTTAACCTTACAAATGGCTTACTTGGATGTTGGTCTTAATCTTGAACCTTCATATCAAATTAATTTTTGAATGCTTTTTTTCCCTAAAAGATAATGGCATGGTTTCATATATTATAATTTTAAAATGCAGTTATTTTTCCCTTCATGCCTACTGTAATGTTCTAAACAAACATGAATGATGAAAGAGAATTAAAAAAGATAATAGTATATGAAGTCTGTGTTTTCCTCTGTCGGTCGGGCGGGGGGATGTCGAAGTGGTGATGGAGCCGGGTCTTGGCATGGATGTTGCACCTGTTCTGCATCAGGCAGGGAGCCCAGGCACGCTCCCCCCCAGGAGTGGGGTCTGCAGCCTCGTTAGCCTGCAGCTGCTTTCCCTATACAGTGCCCATGGAGGACGACAAGACCCAAGACTGAGAAGGTGCAAGAAGGGAAGAAAGGTATCAGTAGCTGAGAGCAGTTGAGTGATATGGGTGCCCCTCCCTGGCAGGATAATGCGTCCGTTTCAGTTTTTTTCTGTCCAGTGTCTGGTATCCCTTCAGTGCATAATGATTCTGTGCTCAGGGTAAGCCTGAGCAGGAAAAACATTTTTTCCTTACCGATTCCATGTTCTTGAGCAAACGCTGATCTCTCCCTGCATGGCCGGCAGGAATTCAGCTTCGCCACAGCCTGGACCACAGCAACCTGCAAGTTTCTCAGCAGCTCCTGCAGAGAGGGGCACAGCCCTGAGCCCTGCAGCGCAGGGATGTTTCTTGGATGAGTTTCTGCTGATCCAAAGAGAGGAACCTCCCCATTAGGTAATAATTAAAGCCTGATGGAGTTTACACTCAGCTTTCTTTCAGATTCGTGGTCTGCAAACAGCTTGGAAACAGCTGTGAATCTGGTCTGTTATCCTTCTTTCCTCATCTACAGACACCACACACATCTCTCACTCGCAGTTAACTGCACACAGCGGATTCAGCAGGTAGAATGCCTTCTCTTGTTCAGTGAAGTGCGTTAAGATGTTTACTGAATACCTACTATATGCAAAACATGCTCCAAGTGCATAGAGATGAAGAAGGCATAGTCCTGGCTCTGGGGAGCTTAGTGTTTTAAGAATGCAAATTTACTCTGTAGCTAGGCCTAAAATAAGCTTAGCCCAACATCTGTCTAGGTTTTATAAAATTTGTAAAGGTAATACTTTCTCAATAAATTTAAATTATATGAAAAAGTGAGCTGTTCCTTCTTTCTCAGCAGTCCTACCACCCAGAGGTAACCACTGTGATAGTTTGCTTATGTGGCCCCAGTGTTTTCCACACCCGTATAGCATATCTGTATAAACAGATTTAGAAAAACAAAGGCAGAATGGTACTGACATATTTTGTAGTCTGCTTCTCTGACCTAACAATAGGGACCCTTTTCATTTCAGCATTTACAGATATGCTTCATTCTCTTTAGAGGCAGAACGTTGCATGGAATGTGTATGTCATAATCTATTCAGCTGTTCTCTTATTTATGGACATGTGGGTTTTCCACTTTGCTGCTATTATAAACGACGCCACAGTGAACAGTCTTAGACGTATAACTTTGCTGACATGGGGTACCATTTTTGGAGACAGATTCCTAGAAGTGGAATTTCAGTATCAAATAGTGGAAACTTTTTTTTATTTGAGTAAGTATGGCCACATTTCCTTTCTAAAAAACTGCAGCAGGTACCAATAGAATATAATATTTATAGTATTTGTTTTCCTCTACCCTCATAACACTGTATTGTTTAAAATTTTTTTGCCAATATAATGTGTGAACTATTTTGTTTATATGCATTTATTAATGAAGTTGGGTACTTTTTCATATACTTAGGAATTATTGTGTTTCTTCTGTGAGCTGATGTTCACAGCCATTGCCTATTTTGTTATTTATGCCGTTCATAATAATTTCTAAGATCTCAATGTATATTGGGATATTAGCTCTTTGTCATGTGTTGAAAATATTTTCCCCTGGTTGTCCATTAAGTTTATTTTTCATGACATTTGTACTAAGGCAGATTTTTTTTTTTCATTTTGAAATGAAAAAAAGAAATACAACTTTGTCTATGATCTGTCTGGAATCGTTTTATTTAATACATTGTTTAATGGTTAAGGGATCTAATAGTACTCTAAACTTTTTAATGTTCAAAATTGCTAGCCACTTATGCCAGCATTGTTTATGGAATGATTTCTTTTCCCCTGCTGATTTGAAATGATACCATTATCATTTCCCTAAGACTTAGGTTTATTTCTGCAGTGTTTCATTCCATTGATCCGTCTACTATAGAAGTAAAGTACTTTTAACTATTGTTGCACTGCAGAACTTTTAGTATCTACTAAGGCTAATCCTTTTGCATTCTCTGGAGTTTTTCTGACCATTCTCCCATGTTTAACCCTACAAAGTACTTTAGAATCACTTGGCCAAGTCCTCTCATGGCCTTTCTCTACTCCCCCAGCAAAAGTACTCCTGGAATATTTATTAGAATTGCATTGAACTCATTGGTACTCAGAGAACTGACCTCTTCATGAGTCTTTCTATCCAAGAATGTGATGAGTTTATCAATTTGTCTACATTTTGCCTCTGAAGTAGTTTAGTTATGTTTATACAGGTCCTGCACATTCTTCTTAATTCCTAGATTTTATGTTTTCTATAGCTATTAGGAAAGAGCTCTTTTCTTCTATATATTTCTTAACTGTTAAGTCTGACAAGTTTTCCCTATTTGTTGTTACAGATAATAAAAAGTAGAATCACATGAAATTGATGTGTTTGATCCTGTTTTTGTCATTTTATTGCATATTTGTGTGTTTTTCTTATACTTATCTTTTGCTCTTTTGAGTTTTCTTTTCTCTCTTTTTTAATTTGCTTCCTGCTAATAGAGTATTTGGAAATAAACAGGGCTATCTACTCATAGTTAGTTTTATGTCTAAACTATAGGGTAAGACTACTTTTTCTGTTCATCAACCAAAGAAATTGAGTCCATTTACTCATTCCATGAATGACAAAACAAATTAGTGTATGTACCTATTCTCTTGCCATTCTACTTGACTTCTTTCCATGTTCATTGGTATTTTGTCTAGTATCATCTTTTTTTGTTAAAGTAGATGCTGTACAATATGATATAAGTTATAGGTATACAATACACTGATTCACAGTTTTTAAAGGTTTTACTCAATTTATAGTTATTATAAAATGTTGACTGTATTTCCCCTGTTTTACAATATACGCTTGTAGCTTATTTTATACCTAATAGTTTGTACCTCTTAATCCCCTACCCCTATATTGCCCTCCCCATTCCCTCTCCACACTGGTAACCACTAGTTGGTTCTCTACGAGTCTGCTTTTTGTTGTTGTTATATTCATTAGTTTGTTGTATTTTTTAAATTCCACATGTAAGTGATTTCACACAGTATTTGTTTTTGTCTGACTTATTTCACCAAGCTTAATGCCCTCCAAGTCCATCCATGTTGCTGAAAATGGCAAAATTTTGTTATTTTTTTATGGCTGAGTAGTATTCCATTGTATATATGTACCACATATTCTTTATCCATTCATTAGTTGATGGACACTTAGGTTGCTTCCATATCTTGGCAATTGTAAATAATGCTGCTATGAACGTTGGGGTGCATGTATCTTTTCGAATTAGAGTTTTTGTTTTCTTCAGATATATACCCAGGAGTGGAATGTAGTTCTATTTTTAGTTTTTTAAGACGCCTCCACACTGTTTTCCACAGTGGATGCAGCAATTTACATTCCTACCAACAGTGCATGAGGGTTCCTTTTTCTCCACATCCTTGCCAGAATTTGTTATTTGTGTTATTTTTGATAATAGCCGTTCTGACAGGTGTGAGGCAATATCTCAGTGTAGTTTTGATTTGCATATCCCTGATGATTAGCGGTGTTGAGCATCTTTTCATGTTCCTGTTGGACGTCTGCATTTCCTTTGGGGAAAAAACCAGCTCTTCTGCCCATTTTTTAATAGGGTTGTTTTTTTGACGTTGGAATTGTATGAGCTGTTTATATATGTTGGATATTAGTCCCTTATTGGTCATAACATTTGCAAATGTTTTCTTCCATTCAGTAGGTTGTCATTTCGTTTTATCAGTGGTTGCCTTTACTGTGTAAAAAGCTTCCAAGTTTAATTAGGTCCCATTTGTTTATTTTTGCTTTTATTTCCTTTAGGAGGTGATCCAAAAAAATATTGCTGTGATTTATGTAAAAGAGTGTTCTATGTTTTCCTCTAGGATTTTTATAGTATCTGGCCTTACATTTAGGTCTTTAATCCATTTTGAGTTTATTTTTGTATATGGTGTTAAAGAATGTCCTAGTTTCATCTCTTACACATAGCTGTCCAGTTTTCCAAGTACCACTTATTGAAGAGACTGTCTTTCTCCATTGTATATTCTTGCCTCTTAATTGACCAAAAGTGTGTGGGTTTATTTCTGGGCTTTCTATCATGTACCATTGATCTCTATATGTTTTTGTGCCAGTACCATATTGTTTTGATTACTGTAGCTTTGTAGTATAGTCTAAAGTCAGGGCACATGATTCCTTGAGCTCTGTTCTTCTTAAGATTGTTTTGGCAATCTGGGGTCTTTTTTGTTTCTATACAAATTTAAAAATTATTTGTTCTAGTTCTGTGAAAAATGCCATTGGTAATTTGATAGGAATTGCATTGAATCTGTAGACTGCCTTGGGTAGTATGGTCATTTTAACAATATTGATTTTTCCAATCCAAGAACATGGTATATCTTTCCATCTGTTTCAGTTGTCTTCAATTTCATTCATCTGCATCTCATACTTTTCAGAGTATAGGTCTTTTGCCCCTTAAGTAGGTTTATTGCTAGGTATTTTATTATTTTTGACGTGATGGTAAATGGGATTGTTTCCTTAATTCTGTTTTTGCTAATTCATTGTTAGTATAGAAATGCAACAGATTTCTGTATATTAATTTTGTATCCTGCTACTTTCCCAAATTCACTGATGAGCTCTAGTAATTTTCTGGTGGTGTCTTTAGGATTTTCTATGTATAGTATCGTGTCATCTGCAGACAGTGACAGTTTTACTTTTTCTTTTCCAATTTGGATTCCTTTTATTTGTTTTCCTTCTCTGATTGCTGTGGCTAGGACTTCAAAACTATGTTGAATAAAAGTGGCAAGAGTGGGCACCTTTGTCTTGTTCTTGATGTTAGAGGAAATGCTTTCAGTTTTTCACCATTGAGTATGATATTAGCTATGGGTTTGTCATTTATAGCCTTTATTATGTTGAGGTAGGTTCCCTCTGTGCCCACTTTCTGGAGAGTTTTTATCATAAATGGATGTTGAATTTTATCAAAAGCTTTTTCTGCATCTATTGAGATGATCATATGGTTTTTATTCACTTTGTTAATGTGGTGTATCACATTGATTGACTTATGGATATTGAAAAATCCTTGCATCCCTGAGATATCAATAAATACTACTTGATCATGGTGTATGATCTTTTTAATGTATTGTTGGATTCAGTGTGCTAATATATTGTTGAGGATTTTTGCATCTATATTCATCAGTGATACTGGCCTGTAATTTTCTTTCTTGTGATAGCTTTGGTTTTGGTATCTGGGTGATGCTGGCCTCATAGAATGAGTTTGGAAGTGTTCCTTCCTCTGTTTTTTGGAATAGTTTCAGAAGGATAGGTGTTAATTCTTCTCTAAATGTTTGGTATAATTCACCTGTGAAGCCATCTGGTCCTGGACTTCTGTTTGTTGGGAGTTTTAAAACTACTGATTCAATCTCATTACTGGTAATTGGTCTGTTCATATTTTCTATTTCTTCCTAGTTCAGTCTTGTGGTGGTGTACCTAGGTTGTCCATCTTATTGCCATGTAGTTGCTCATAGTAGGCTCTTATGATCCTTTGTATTTCTGTGGTGTTGATTATAACTTCTCCGTTTTCATTTCTGATTTCATTGATTTGGGCCTTCTGCTCTTGATGAGTCTGGCTAAAGGTTTATCACTTTCATTTATCTTTTCAAAGAACGAGCTTTTTGTTTCATTGATTTTTTTCCTAATTTTTACATCTGTATTTAATTTATTTCTGCTTTGATCTTTATGATTTTTTTTTCTTTTACTAATTTTGGGTTTTGTTTGTTCTTCTATCTCTAGTTGCTTAGGCATCAAGTTAGGTTGTTTGAGATTTTTCTTGTTTCCTGAGGTAAACTTGTATCACTATAAACTTCCCTTTTGTTTTTTTGCTTTTGCTGTGTCCCACAGATTTTGGATCATCGTGTTTTCATTTTCATTTGTCTCTAGGTACTTTTTGTTATCCTTTTTTATTTCTTCAGTGATCCAATAGTTCTTAAGTAGAATATTGTTCAGCCTCCATGTGTTTGTGTTTTTTCAATTTTTTTCTTGTAGTTGATTTCTAGTCTCATAGCATTGGGGTCAGAAAAGAAGCTTGATATGATTTCAGTTTTCTTAAATATACTGAGGCTTGTTTTGTGGCCTAGCATGTGATCTGTCCTGGGGAATGTTCCATGTGCACTTGAAAAGAATGTGTATTCTACTGCTTTTGAATGGAGTGCTCTATACATACCAGTTAATCCATTTGGTCTAATGTGTTATTTTTTTTATTTTTATTTTTTTTGCGGTATGTGGGCCTCTCACTGTTGTGGC